TTTAAAGGGTTAAAATGCAGTTGGTGCATCAGTAGACAAACGCATGTCACGGTACCTGTGTCAGGCAGCACACTCCTCAGCTGCTCCCGCAGGAACGCCGCGGCTCGGTCTACCTCAGAGGGGAGATGAGCAGAGTCCACGACCACCAGCGTCAGATCTGCCTGCTCCACCCTGGAGAAACAGAGCAGCCTCCACTTCAGTCACAAACCCACTGCTGACACTCGACCTGTAATGATGGCGTGGCAGGTATTTCTCATCACCGTGTGCGTTTCCATGGCTGAATGTGGTTCTGGTAACTACAACAAGGACAGTCGTGAGTATTTCAGACGTGGCTCCTGAAATGTGTTTATTCGAGGCAACTTTTCCACGACAGCGTGAAAATCGTGAGATGCAGTCAGGACACTTTATGGGCGACAGCTGAGGTCAAGATGAAGGTGAAGGAAAGTAGTTGTAGACCAGGAGTACTGAGTAAAGGTGCAACTGTAAAATAATTTGGGGCCTCTTACTTCTTACTTTGACGATTTATGTTCAGATCCCACCGACCTTTGACCATGACCTTCACATCTGTATCTTACACTGTACACTGACGAACAAACACCGGCACTCAAAACTGCTTTTGTGGGGGGTTTTGTGCTACAGGTGGTTCCTCTAGGATTAAGTATAGCTCCTTTTATGCTCTACAATCTATGGCAGTACTGTTGGGGAATACATCAAGCCCAGATACGTTTCCCACCACCTGTGCCCGCTCTTGGCTGTGCACCAAGATATCTCAGAGCAGAGACTGTTGTTCTGTTTCACAAACCAACTATAAGCTATAGCCCGGAAAAGCTGGCAGGGACATCCCATCACTCTAAATGGTATTCACGTGAAATACTGGTTCCTTGCATCCGTCTCACTGCGAGGTAGCAGCAGGAGTGGAGGCGGATGCTTGCACTTACCACGTCCTTCCTGTAGTGACCCAGGTCACGAGCCTTTCTCCTGCTCCCTGCAAAAGACGTTTCCCACAGAACACAAACTGCCTGCCCTTCCTATAGAGCCACCAGGTCAGGCACATAACTTAAACAAGGAGTAAAGGCATGAGACTGCGTTTGCACTGGAAATGGCATTCCTCTGGACACACCTGGATTTATACCAGCAGTGACAGCAAAGCTGATACTGTGTTCATTTTGGGAGTCGGGAGGTGACGAATAAGAAAAATACAGCGTAGTGCTGTGAAAGGCTGACACATGTATGAGGTTCTGTATTTACTTTACTCAGTAAACCAGTGAGTACAGCGTGCAAACATGAGGGTCCTTCTTTCACTGCAGGCCCCTTCATGTCCCACTGACTCACATACTAGGCACCCATCCATACATCTGTTTATCCGTGCATCTGTACTTCATTCCATCCTTCCACTAGGGCTGCCACAAACGATTATTCTGATAGTCGACTAGTCACCGATTATTTTTGCGATTAGTCGACTAATCAGATCATCATCCATTGGACGTAAAACGTACAGCTTATTGCACCAGCAGCATCTGCTCTTATATAACTATCATTAGCTTACAGCTTTAAGTGTTTAAGGT